AAGACACAACGTATGCAATCGATCGATGTCACCAAGAACTCATCGATCGATGCTAGCAACGAATCAGCAAAGAACGAATCGACGATAGATTAAAGCTGCATGCGATACAAGGATTGATGTGATAGATCACCACCTCACCAACAACATCAATTGGTTAAGCATGATGATTGAGTTGCTACAGCAAAATTTGGATGAATTCTTCCAGGAGAGACACAAGAACCCAAAATCGATCGACAACAACAATGGGAAATCGACCGATTTAGGAAAACTACCAGGGCAAGATTTCTACACCAGAGCAGAAGTTGATCAGATTATTGAGAAGATATACACCGCTCTAAACACAACTGAGGACAGGTCTGATAAGCGATGTGACGACATCTTCTTCCATTTCAACAGCAATATCACTGCACTACGTTCAGGAACAGATTGGTTGAGGAAGAAAGTAAGAACCATTCAGAAAAGACTCGCCTGTCAACCTAAGTTCACCCAATCGATCGACATCAACAAAGACCCGTCCATCGATAATGTTTCACCAGAGGCGATCGACAACACAACAATTGAAGCGATCAATTCCAAATCCGTACCAGAAGGAAATCAGCTAATAGGAGAGATGACAGACCACGTTTATGATACAGTTCAATGGAACATAAAAAATATTGAGAGTCTTCAGGAAAGATTTCAGAACATTGCAGCAATAGTTACAAAGATGGATGCAAGATGGGCCAGAAGTGATGAAGCCACAAGAAGTTTCATAGCTACTTGGTTCAGCATCAACAAAGAAGTTGTGGATACTTGTTTTCCAACAAGTAGCTCTTTTTCCACACCATAGCTCACCCAGTGCAACAGTCAAGCTAAATGACTATAACTAAGCACTGAGTGAGAAGCAACCCAGTATTAGGTAATTTTTCTTTTGATTTTCTTTTCATTCTACTAATACTTTTTTTTTTGTTTTAGAACTTTTGCAGGTTTTTTTTCTAAAAAAAAAAATAGATCCAAGGAGAAACGAATGACCAGGTAAAGCCTACACTTTACTTTATGCAAAGAAATGAGGTTAGCTAAGGGGAATGTCATATAGTATTTGCTAAGTTGTTGGTTAGATGAATCTGGTTGCTAAGATAGGATATTGCATAATGAACTTATGTGATTAGAATGTTTTAGATGTAGATTGCAATATTACAGAGGTTATGATTTCAAAGTTTTAAATCAGTGAGTCCTTATTCTTTTCAAACCTCTTTCACACAGACTACCTGTTTGTTTTGCTTGAGGACAAGCAAAAAGGTAAGTCTGAGAGAGTTGATATACCATGATTTTGACCTGTTTTTAGTTATGGTATATTAGTTTGTTTACTATTGTTTACTATACTATAGAAGCTTTTAATCATATTTATGAGATCGGGAGTATTTTGGAAGAAAGTGATGTTTTTGGAGCATTTTGGAGAGAACTGGAAGAAGCGCTCAATTCAGACTCAATCACGAGGTCGACACAAAGAGACCTGAATCGACCGACATGTATTATGCATGATCGATCGATTATCAAGACCCAGAAGTCAAATTCGAGAGACAAGTTTACTTGAAGCCCAATCATCTCCAAATGACAATTTTACCTCTGGAGAGTTTTAACCTAAGATTATATATTTTGCCAGAGTGTTAGAGGCAAAAGAGAGGATTTTTTGAGAGAGCTTTTTGTATTCTTTTCACAACAAAAGTTTTAGGGTTTTTAGTTTGGAGAGAAGATCTTCAGAGAAATTTGAGAAGATTTTCTACCTATCTATTTATTTAGAATATGCAGTTTTATTTATTTACTTGTGTTATGAATTGCTTGGCTATGTCTGAGTAGTTTACTTGTTAGATTTAGGGTTTAAATAGGTTAGAAGGATTAGCCCCAACTATAGGATTGCTAGTTGTGATACTAATTTATAGGATGTCTTAATTGCTCATGGTTCTAGAGTAGCTAACTAGAAACATTGAATCCTAGATTATTTAGGTTGGATTAGAGACATTTAAGTGATTCTAAATATCCTGAACACATCTTTATCAAGCTAGGATTTATTAGAAATATAACTGACATAATTTGATTTAGAAATCTTTAGTGAGTTTAGGTTAACTCGTGTGCATTGCTTGACCGGATTCATCGATCGATCTTCCTAGCAGAAATCGGTCGATAATGAGTTAGTGCATCGGTCGATTGTCCTATAGATAATCGCTCGACACTGTCAATTACGACCATCTTGTCATTAGACTTATTTATTTGAATGATATTTTAAGTAAATAGTTCAATAAGAATAGTTAATGCTCTATAGTATCTCGCAAACAATTAGATATCATCCTATGGAATTATAATCTTGAAAACCTAAATAAAAACCCTAAGTCTAGCATCTTTTCCATATTAGTTTTAGAAGTCTAAATTTCCATTCTCGATTAAGTAATTGTCGTGCTAAATTGGAATATTTCCTTATTGCTTATTTATTGTTTTTACTATTTATACATTCACCTAGAGTTATATTTAGCTAGATCTATTAGGTTCCTTAGATCCTTGTGGATTCGATCCCTAAGTACTATAGCTGAACCTCTTATTTGAGAGAGTAATTCACTCCTTAGGGTAATTTGAAAGATATCATACTTTCATCTCTTCTTCGATGATGATATAGTTTGTGGCTTTATGGAGATCATCTCGGATTGTGAGGGGCTTTTTGAGAGCTATCCATTTTTGGAACTTGGACTTGTATTAGAACGTCTTTCTAAGTGCGTCGATTTCCACTTTATCTCTGATTCCGCTGATCCTTGATATGACGATTTTAAATCGGTTCATGAAGTCGCGGAGAGGTTCGTCTTCCTTTTGGTACATGCTCAAAGGTTTACGTCGGAGGTTTCTCTATTCATGAACATTGAATATTGCTTGAGAAACTCCAAAGCAAGTTGGCGGAAACTTCTAATAGAGTTTCGTTTTAGACGAGAAAAACATTCAAGCGCTGCTCCCTAGATATTCTCGACGAAGTGGCGACAGTAAACCGCGTCTCTTTTTTTCCATGAGTTTGCCTCTACTCATCGTGATCTGGAAGGTTTGAAGATGCGCTTGGGGTCTCTGGTGTTGTCATACATGGGGAATTTTTTATTCCCAAGGTCTAGATTTTTTTCTCGGTGATATGAACAATAAACTGAGTATTTTTGAGCCTCCTCAAAGAGTCTATCGATATCAGGTGCAGCGCTGGTAGCTTGGTGAATTTGAGACTTCACCGCCTTGACTTCCGTGGCTGTTTTTTTGAGATAGTTGCGGAGATCACCCATCTTATCAAGATATTTGCCAGAGGTCTTCAGAGCATGTCGGCCTTTGCTGCGAGTGATCCGGGCATGTTCTTCGGCCAGTTTCTTTTATTCTATCCAGAAGAAGTTTTTTCTTCTTCTGTGATGAGTTTGTCGAACAGAGAATCTTGCTGAGTCGCCCAGCTTCTCGTCCTTCTTGGATGCACATCAGCGTCCTCATCTGCGGGATAGCTTGACTCGTTCGACTTCATCACCTCCCACTTCTTGATTGAGAGGTTAGGGATTCTCCGCGTTCAGCCGTGTCACCTCAGAGTAACCTCATCTAGGTTTTGATTTGACGGGATCCCCTGGGGTTAGTGGGCATGTCGAGCGGAGTCGCAAAGTCGAGTCTTCTTTCATGTGCTTATCCTGTTCGTCCGACTTTTTTTCGAGAGTCAAGAACATCTTCTTAATCTCCTCGAACACTGCGGTGTTTGCTGTCATTGGCGATCTTGCCGTCTCAAGTTGGTTGACTATTTTGAGTGTGTAGCCATATCTAACCAAGCATTTTGCGACCGTGACTTAGATTGATCCGTACCCCCCCCCCCCAAGTAGTCAAGATACGCAAACAAACGAAATTGTAAATTGCGAACAAAAAATAAAGTAAAGGAGATATATTTCCCAATATGTGTATGAGCGTTTACAATAGGTAAAAGCCTCGGTCGCAAAAGCTATCGGCGAGTTCCCTAATTCTAACAACCTAAGACTTGAAACACCTAGTTGAGTCGCAGCTCCATAACAAAAACAGAAAGTTGCATAAATTGTTCTAAGGGCTAAGTTGCAGAGAATTTCTTGTGTCCCTTGCGCCTCACGCCTTGACTCCTCTTATATATTCACCATAGGTGTGGTTGTCTTTTCTTTTTCTGCCCTTGACTCTAATTTATCTCTTCACAGAAATCTTCCATTTTCTCTCGATTTTCATAACTATCCTAGAAACTTGATATTTATCTTTTCCCGCGATTTATTGGATAGGCCATTATTGCCATTTAGGCTTATCCTCTTCTTTTAAAATCGTAAGTGGATTTTTGCCGCATTTTAAACCTCTTTGGGATGTTCTGGGACTTAAACGTTTTAACAATTTCTTTCGGAAAAATCACCTTCAGTACAATGTTGTTTCTATGGGAAAATGGAACCAACCGTATTTGTTTTCATAGTGGTATTAAGTTAATCGTTGTCATTTTATACGATTGATTCAATATTGTACAAGAACATATTTTTGTTATTTATATTGTAAAGTTTCAATGATAACTCCAACAAAACTAGAGATAACTTGGTCACAGTTCGAAGAAGAGAACTACAAAGGTGACACGAGAGTGCATAGTATACCCTTGTGGCGATTTGATATCCCGCGGCTCGAAGAATTTCGAAATTTAATTTTTTTTTAAAAATTATTTACTTTAATATTAAATTATTAACTAATATAATATAATCTATTTTAATAAATAAATCAGAGGCTAAAAAGGTTTTCATTGATATAAACTGGTATTAGGAGTTTATGAAATTTTTTAAAAACAAAAGATAAAATGATCACTTTTTTTAATCTTATTTAACAAATGGTGAAAAAACTTCTTTGAAAAGCGTGAGAAAAAGAGAATCTCATGGTGGCTCTAAAGACACCTTACTTTTCTTTTTTTAGTTGAGGTGGCAATCAACAGATAAAAACTAACATTTAGATGTAATATAAGCTAGCAAGGATGGAACTCATGATTAAGGCGTAGCACTATTAAATGGTATCTAGTTTAAAACTAGACTAGAAGCTAACAACAGCAAACGATGAACGAACAATAGAAAGCAAGAAACACAACCAACAACGAAAACAAAGAAAAAGAAAACTCAGCAAGTCTCCTCATCCAGAGGTTCGTCAATTTTTTTAAGAAGTTAGCTAGGAACTCCTCCAAAACCCACAAACTCTGTTTCTTTCAAAATGTATAAATCCATACTCAACAGAAAGAGAAAGATCCAAAAGGACAAATCGAAATAGCAAAAGCTGCCTTATGATATCAATGTCAATATAAAGAACTAAAAAGAGAACTTATTCATATTCAGCTCGCAAAGCCTCTTCTCCAACAAGTCTTTGCTACCCCCAATTATTCATTCGTTCTCTTTCTCTTAAAAGTAGACCCTCTGGAATGTACGAGATGTTCCATGACCAGGGCAGCCAGTGCAATGTCTCCGCCATATCCACTTTGATAGGCAACGGTCTGCTTTGCCATTGCGGCCTCCATCGCCCCAATCTTCAGTTGGGCATCTCGCAACTGATTCAGCAACTTCTGATAAATGACCGCGGCAGTGGAGTCTGAATTCAGGGCAGAGTAACCTACCTGGAATAGTCAAAAAAAAAGAGAGTAAAACTGAATCTTCCAGTCTTCCCAAAGAAATAATCAAAGAACACTCAGTTTTTCAGTATTTTGTTTCGTTAGTAACATTATAAGATTTGTAGTATTATTTTTTATCCGCCAATTTAAAGTCAGGAGCACAAAAGTTACCATAGTTGACACAGAAGCGCCAGATTTCTCAGAGTCGAGAAGAATCTGACCGCAATCAGCGATTGTCACGGGATCGGAAGGGATCACAAATTCATTACCGACCATTTTCTCAACGAGAGCGATTACATCAAATCCATCCACAACTTGTCCAAACACGATGTGCTGGCCGTCGTAGTCCGGGAACTCCTTCATGAGGAGTACAAACTGAGATCTGTTGGGGTTTCGAACAGAGTAGGCCGTAGTGAGGATACCTGGACGGTCGTGCTTCCTGATGCAGTCTTCCGCCGGAACTTGATTGCCGTAGATCGGTTCGCCTCCAGATCCGTCTCCCTTAGTGATATCCCCGCCACACCAAATATCATCTGGGACGATACCGTGGATGATAGATCCCTTGTAGTGGAGTGGTATACCAGACTCCCCTATGCCTTTCTCCCCGGTACACAGAGCCCGGAAGTTCTCCGCCGTCTTAGGGTTCGTGTCGGCGAAGAGCTCTATCACGATACGACCAACCGTTGTTGAGCTGACGGCAATATCCAGGAAAACTCTAGGGTTGTTCGCCATCGGAATTTGATCGCAGATTTTAGGGTTTCTACGGTGCAAAGAGTGATTGGATTCGTCTGAGACCACATCTTTTTATTTATTCCCTTTCTCTCGCTTTCTTTCCTTTTCTTCTTCCTCCCGCCGTCGGTATAATACTATGGTTTAACTATGGTTCAGTCAACTCTGAGTAGGGTTTTTGTCGGCAATCTAACTTTTTTTTTTTTTGTGACGAATCTGTTTAGAATTTAAAAGATTGAATTTGTGCAATATTCATAGGAGATGATGAAATAAAGAATATAGCTACAACATAGTTGATGTGACAATTAGCGTCAGGAGATGATGAAATAAAGAATATAGCTACAACATAGTTGATGTGACAATTAGCGTCAAAAGCGGATATTTTTTTCTTTTCACTCGCGTACGCGTAAAATGATGAGAGTGAAACATTACTATGTTCGGTTTAGCAATCACGTTATTAGAGGTGGAACTTATGTGGTTCTAGAGCTAAACTATACTATCAAATAGAATGACGTAATTTGAACACATAAAAAGTTAAAGAGAGCATCAATGTAACATATTTGTTTCGGGGGTGGGAAAATTAACTCTAATGAAATAAGATAAAAAATTAGAAGTTTGGAACATTAAAAAACGTCATAATGTTAGACTCTATTAAAAAAGAAAACATATACATAGTACAATAACATATAAAGTGAATGAATGGGGAGAATGTACTATAATATACTCACTATGTTCATAAAAGATCCATATTCTAGTTTTTTCACACTTTTTAATAAAACACAATAAATTTGCATAGTTTTTTGTAGTTATATTCTTTCCATAATTTTAAACCAATAAAAAATCAATTAGTGCAATTAAGTTTTTTGAAGTTTACAATTAGTTAATAAAACATGTATTGAAAATGTAAAAAAATGAATCTTTTAGAAACAATTTTTTTCTAGAATATGTATCTTTAAAGAATGGAGGGAGTATGTGATATAGTATAATACATGTAGCTCGACAAGGGTAAAAATTTCCTCACATAACGCATAAGAAAATGGTCTAAAGTATCTGTACCTATGGAAAACAAAAAAATGGTGCATGTATGCAGAAGCAGGAACCCAGCTTGGTGGCACATATGCACACTTACGTAACGTGTATTCAAAAGGCATTCATACTATACCTATGTATACAGTTGAAAATATAGGAAAAAAGCTAACAACACAGCTCACGTAGAATAATCATTTATGTTGCATATTATGACTCACTTGGCATGAACAATATAGGAGAAATAGACATGGGACTATAACATAACGAGTATAATTCATATTATGACATGGAACTATAACATATTATGACTAAGTTAGACTGTACACTCAAAATTTGCGTCAAAAGCAGACCACATATTACTATATTATATGCAATATAATATAATTCATGCAGCACAAAACATCATATCATTCTATACTACACACACACTAGTATAGTATAGTCAAATGGAAACAAATAACCTGTTTATTTGATTATGTTATGTACAAGAAATAACCACACTGAAGTTTATCGGTTGCGACAATGTGTTAACTAGCGCTATAAGAAACAAAGTCTACAATTAGTAAAATTACAGAGGTCCCAAATGGTGAAATCTAATATAGAAAATCAGTATATAAACTAAATGTTACGTATGTCAGTTGCCATTTATACTATATTAAAAATATAATAGTCTAGTAATGAAAGTTCTTTGCTATGACACAATACAAACATATTTCATTGTTGCATAAAATACATAAAAGACTAATATCTAAAAAAACATTACTATACTATGCAAGATATAGTATAGTCATTCAATAGAGTTACACAACACGAATGTTTAGTTCGATGAAAAGAAGAATACATAATATAACATATGTCTGACACCGTTGATGCGTAGTATAAACATGACTCCAATTATAAAACTAATTAGGAGGATAAAATGATTAAAGCGGGATGAGAGAGGAAGAGGAAGAAGTGTTGTGGAAGTAACTAAAATTGAGAGACAAAGTGGTGGTGTGGTGTTGGTGGAGGAGGGGGAGGAGGAGATGTTGGTGGAAGTGATTATTGAAGCGGGTTAGAGAGGAGAAGGAGGGGGAGGAGGAGGTGGTGATGGTTGCGGTGTTGGAGGAGGGAGGAGGAGGAAGTGAGTGTTTCATTGCTTTTCTTTACGCTTTTCTCGTTCTTTAACAAACGTTGAAGTAGTCGGAGTCGTGATCTGACTACGTTAACCATAACCTAAAGAACAAGAGAAAGATACAAGGTCATGAGCAATCGTAGATAGATTCAAGTTCGTGCAAGTTAGAGATACGATTCTTCTACAAATACGGATCCAAATCCGGATATCCAGACCTAAAAGTTAAGATATCCGGATCCGGATTCGATTTATACGGATCCGAGATTTTACTATCCAGATTTGAATCCGGGCATCTTTGGATATCCTAATTTCGGAACGGATCCGGAGCAGATCTCGCATCGAATCCGGATCCCGGATAAAAGACACGGCCAAGCAACCACGTAGTCTTAATTAAAGGCAAGAAAAAATCTTCTCTTATGAAACAAGTGTCACTCGTTAAGGGGGTTTGGCCTTTTTTCTCTCCACATCAATTGATCGACTTTCTTCTCTCCATATCTTTCTCGGTGGCAGCTCCTCTGTCTCTGAATCTCTACATTACATGACTTTTGCTGAATAAGAGCCGATCTTCAGACGCAACAATGGGGTTTTGAGAATTGTCCGAAAGACGCAATCAAAGAAGGAGAAAGTGAAAGGAAGAGACAAACATGGCAATGGCCTTTGGCGGCTTTGCATGGTCGTTGTCTTATTAGCAGTTGCCGTTAGTTCTAGATACGCTTCTAATGTCGGTTTCTTCTTCACCGATCGTAATTTTTGCAGCTGCTTACTTCGTTCGTGAAAACTCTCCCCATCTCATGCTTCAATCTGATAAAGGAATATGGACAAAAGGATCTCAGTTACGTTTTTCGTGTCTGAATTTGATGATGATGAGAGAGCAAAGATCATAATACAACAAAGACGCTTCCTTCTTTTCCTCGCTCTAAAGTGATGGTTCATGAAGGTGTGGAGTTTCTTCTAGGGATGTTTTTGAGCATGTAAGAGAACCACACATGTGGTTTATTTTTTGCAGGTCATTCGTTGGCTTTTCGGGAATTTGGATACAGGGAGATAAGGAAAGAAACTAAAGGTTTCCGCATGGTGATTGGCAGTGGGGGGGGGGGGGTTTGGCTGTTCACAGAGCTGAGTTCTGTAATGGGTTGGTTGTAGCTGTGAAAAGAATGAACAAGATCTGTGAACAAGCAGAAGATGAGTTTTGCAGAGAGATAGAGCTTCTCGCCAGGCTGCATCACCGCCACTATTTGCTTTGAAAGGCTTTTGTACTAAGAAGAACGAGAGGTGAATTGTTATTATTACACTTTCTTTCTCTTCATTTCTGTAGAAGATATTTGGATTATCTGCTCATCTAACCTGAGAAATTTTCAGGTTCCTGGTGGTTCTTTTGAGCTTGACCCTGCTGCTGTCCCGAGCTACATAGTGGAGAAGGAGGTTCAAGCTGGCTATGCAGAAGACAACCCTCTTATTATCTTAGATTGAAGTTAGTGTTTTAGTGAGTCTTTGTAATTAAGTTGAAGTAGTTTGATCCTCTCAGAAGATGGTTTCTTTGTTTGCAGGAAATGAACTTATATTATATCTCTTTTGTAGTATTGTCGTGTAAACTCTGCATTAAATTACTACATCATTTATTACTACATCATTTAGGCTAAATTTATGAACGATACATGTATCTGTTTGACTATAAACACATATGCTAAAGAAGTAGTGGGTCTGATTATGATATATATCCATCTTCACACTCCCCAGCTCATGTAGACGTTTTCTTCACAAGTGGTAATCTGACGTTTACTTCACAAGTGGTAATCTGATACAGAGCCAACAACATTTTGCAGAGATGATCTACTTTTGTCCACACAAAAAAAAAACTCTAATCAACAACATTCTCGATTATTTTACTAATTATTCTTTTTTCATTTTTTTTTTCAAAATCTATGTTTTAAATGATATACTTTAATATGTTGTGTTTATTAAATAAATTTTCTTTAATAAAATAATGTTAATTCTTTTTAAGAACCTCTAATAAAAAATTATCATTGGAGCACACAAATGTTGGTATCCCTTAACTAGGTCTCTTATGTAACAATAAATACTTAAAAATTATTAAAGATTTTTTTTAAAATTATTAAAAATTATTTAAAAAAAATAATTAAAAGATTTAAAGTGGATTTTTGGGTTAATGATGCTCTTAAGTTAATATAAAAACCTATTTGTCAAAAGCTACAATCTCAAGCTGTATGTGCTAAAGTCATATCCATGTAAATTTGTTTTGCATTTTAATAGATTACCATTAAACACACAAAAAAAAAGATAATGAAATAAAAATAGCAGATTAAGATTTTTTATGGTAATATGATAACGTAATAATGAAACTTACGTTTTGGTAGATTGAGTTTTTGTCGTTTTATATACTTAAGAAGTTATACGATAAATTAACATATGTGCCATCTATATAAGAAATATTTTTAAAACGTAAACGTGAAAACATGTTCTAAAAAGCTATTACAAAACACTATATATACATAATAATCGGGAAACAGTTCAACTAATTAATGCTATAGTTCAGCCGATACCACCGGCGTGGACCGGTTCCGCTTCCGTCTTTTTCGTGCTCTATGCACCTTAGTATGACTACCACCAAACTTCAACCGTCCTGTATCCCTAAACCGGTCCTTCTCAGCTGTCAAAATCACACACTCCGGGGGAGGCACAGCGTATCGTACAGTGTCATAACAATAAGAATAGTACATGTAACGTTCTCGGAACCGTCTCATTGCAGCTCCTTGTTTAGGACTAATGGTTGAGTAATCGCTGGTCATGAGAAGTTGGTCTGAGGCAGAACAATTGATGTTGTTGTAGTTATCTCTGGTGACGGTGGTGAGTGACTCAGAGACATTACAACCGTCGAGAGCAATGTCTTTGAAGTCGGAGACGAATGGTGAGAATGTGTACTCGACACCGAATTTTCCACCGGAAGTAGCCCAGCTTGAGGCGTCCCAAATGGTTGCGTAAAGAGACATTGGCTTCTGTGGGTAGTCTCCTTTCATTTCTTCTTTTCTTTTAATTTCTCTTATTGGCACATCGTCTACCCAAAATCTGTAAATTATAAATTAAACAACATTATTTATACTCCATATTTTTTCTTGGATAATTTGAACAAGTTTTATCCATGTGGTTTTCAAACTTGGATGACCTAAACTATTTAATCTTAATCTAACTAAGTTTGATCACATATACTATTCAAATCCAGAAATAAGTCCAAAGTGAACATTGTTATTACTTCATGCGTGCAAATGAGTACATTTGAAATATGAGTTTTCCGTGTACATATTGCGTTTTACAACACAACATGTCACATTTCATGCACACTATCAAAGCTGTTCACAACCACATGCACTAATTTTCTCTTTGACTGAAAAAACTCCTTCTAGATCACATAACTACGAGGTTATTTTTAATTAGCTCGAAGCAATATTGTTTCACTCTCCAGATCATTTCTTATAATAACTTTGTAAAATAATGATTCTACGTATAATTGAACTTTTTTTACTGATACGTAAAAACTGAACTTGTTGACAAAAAAAAAAAAGAATATGAGAAAGAGGAAACTAACATTATTTTGGTAGGGTTCCAAAGGATGCTATAACGGTGAAACTCCTTAGAAGGATCAAACCAAAGACGGTAACGTTCTTCGCGGCCACGGTTTGTGCTACCGTTTCCATACATATTTGTCTGAAACCGCCATGGCTTTCCTTCTACGTTCCCTAAAAATTCTATGTCTAATTCGTCGTGGTTCTTCACAAACACATCGCCGTTTGATGTCTGGATTGAATGTAATCCACATTCAATCACTTTTACTAAATTTTAAGAAGTGAAAACGATTAATGACTTACATAGAAGGCAACTACAAGACCGGCCGTGTAAGCTCCCGGCAACTTTATTAACGAGCTGAAGAATCCATGTTGATACATACTTGAAGATATGAATCCTGACCCTATCGAATTCAATTTTCAATATAACTTCGAATTAAAATTTATATAAATAAAAACCCAACGACTTTAAAGAGCGACATATGTTCAAGAAAGTTAACAAAGATAAAAACGGTGGAATAAATAAATTTGCGTATGTCACATCATTTACTTTTGCATGATTTTTTAAAAAAATATTTACCTTTTATAATTCCACCCGTAGAATTCATGTGTCGATTACAGATTTGATTTAAACAAAAAAATTTAAATCTAACATTACAACAGTAGGTTCGTCCGCCTGCCAAACCGACACGTTCCGCTCCAATGCTTTGCTATCTTTAGAATATCATAACCGTTCTCCGCCACCGATGTTAACCACGGAAAGGGCGAGGTTTACCTCGTTGCCTCGGATGCCGGTCTTTCCATGACACCGGAACGGTAGCTAGTGTCTGATGATCTCTTCAAATCCGCTTTCGACTCAGACATTAAGCTCTACCCAAATGGAAAAAGAGGTGAGAAGCATAGCCCGTAGACTCCCAACTCGGTAACCACTGGGAAGTGAATGGAACCGCAATAGCCTCAACCGTAAGAAGCTCACACGCACCAAAATTTTAGGCTGCAATGGTAACTCGTCTTGAACAAATAGAAGCTTCAAAACCTGCAAATAAAAGCAGTGTACAATCTGCTAGTTCAACCAATTGGAATCACTAGTACTGGGATGATCAAACACAACACAGACCTCCAAGCTGCATGCACACTAGGCTGACTCAACCGTAGGAGCAACACGACCACCTGAGAAGGACAAGAGAACCTTGCCCAATCCCTTATTTGCGATTCAAACTTCAAAAGCTCATTGGAGAGGCGAGATGAAGTGGGGAATCGGAATAGAAGCAACCAAAACTCTGCGCTAAGATTGGACCCACTTGTCATGAACCATGATAGGAAAGGAGAAAGAGAGAGCAGCTGTCGGAGTTGAGCTCTCACTGCCATAGATGACAGCACTAGACACCAAACTCCTAAGTCTGCACGCGTCAACAAAGGGAAGAGCCAATCACATGACCAGTCCACCACAGAATTCGCGTTGATGGAGAACCACCATAACCCTTGAGCCGCGGCAGGACCCATTAGTCGGAGCAAGACACCAAGCTTCGACAGACAGGGAACACCGAACAACTCCACCCCACGACGAAGAACCTTTGGAGGAGACAATGAAAACCAGAGGGGAGTTCTGAATCCACATTCACGCGCCACCACTGCCAAAACCTCAAACCAGATCTGGAAAAATTTAAAATCGGATCTGTTGAAGCTTTACCTTCAAAAGCCGACTCTGGCCAACTTGCAAAACCTTGCCGTCTCGATTCATCTCCAGATCAAACCCTAGTCGCCGGAACCTAGCCTTATGCCTTCATAGTCTTACCAGAGACTTCCCATATCGACGACAAGAGGAGAGAAGAGACCGAAACAAAGGAAAAAAGGATAAAAGAGGAGGAGGAGGGCTCCCGACGTCGGAGCTAACGTGTACCGGCGACCACCGATACCTCCAAACATTGGAGCCAAGCTGTGAAGTTTTTTTTTTGTTCTAGTAATGGAAGAGAGAAAGATGAGATGAGAGAGGAAGATGCTTCGAAAAAAATCATCTGTGCTTCTTTTTGTTTTGAATAATCCAGTGTATCATGGCACCCACCAAAGTGGATCCAGACTAGCGGCGAGTGTCCGTATCAGTCTACGTTATCGGCCAGAGTACGCCTCGGTCACCGGACGTTGTGGAAGCCCAGATATTAAATTTTATCCTCAGTGGCCAGCAGGATTCGAACCCGGATCCGTATTTGGGGCCGAAGCTCTCTCAAGACCACTAGACCATCCTCGCTTGGTGAACCAACTGCGCTTCAAAACCTACTTTTGCATGATTATTGAATCTAGATCAAGATTCTGCAATAGTTCATGGTATAATCGCATGATCAAGTTAAAAAAAATTATACCCTGATTGAATATATGATACAAGATGGTTTAATCGTATAATCATGTTACAACCCACCAAGTTACCATTCCATTCTACCGATTATTATGTCCATGCAACTCAAAATATTAAATGTGCAGATTATTATTATCATTAAAAACCTACAACTCGAGTCTCTTAACGTGAAATTAATTGTATTTTTGAGAAATCATTGTACTAATAATAATATATAAATAAAAATAATAATAATATATAAATTATCACTCAAAAGACCAGAAATTACCGGTGTATTTGTCGAGGAGTAATCGAACGCTGCGATCGTCAGGAGATCGAATAAGGTTAGATTCACCGAACAAATGAGAAAGACCTTCATCGAAGAATATAGGATTAATGTTCTCTAATCCCAAAACACACCTCCAAGAAACGATCAGCATCACCATCATCATCACCTCTAATCGATAATATATCCGTGAAAGGTATTTTAAATCTCTCATTATTTTGTTTACTCCAAACACAAAGAAAAAATTGGGTTGTGTTTCTCTTTCTATGTCTTGTCGAGATGTTTGTTTGTTGTTTTTTTCTTTTCTTATGATGCGTCAATGTGGGAACGAAGACCACGGAATAGTCGACGTTTTGCTTCTATGTATGTACTTTTTTGGGTTCTCGACTAATTACTTTTCATGCAGTAGATACTTAAAATAAATGTTAATGTATTTTATAGTAAACTACTAAACTCATCTTGAATTTTATTTGGACTTTTTCTTTTGCGCAATTACTATTAAATGCGAAAAATCAGTTTAAAATATTCAATTCTAGAGTCAGTTAATTAAAAAGGATTAATACCTTTTTGGAAGCGTGGCGTGGAAAAATGTTGAAAAATGAATTAACATCTTCTGAAAAAAAAAAAATTTGACCATTACTTTGTGGAGTGGGGATAATTTTACTATAGTAAAACCTTTATAAATTAATAATGTTGGGACTTTGAAATTTTATTAATTTGTACATATATTAATTTAGAAAATTTTCTTTATTTAGATTTTTTTATTTTAAAATAATATTTTCTAAAATAAGAAAAATATTTAATTTTAGTGTATAAACAACAATTATTATTTTTTAAATACTTGACTTATATATCAGTTTCATTATATTATTTTGTGTATATAATATATATTGCATATAATCTAAATAAATGTGGTTTTAAATAGAATATTACTGAATCTCTTCAAAAATATAATAAGTGTTAAAAAAATATAAAGAGAATTTCATTAATATAAAACAACAGTATAATGATATGTTCTACTTCTACCAAAAAAAATGATATGTTCTACTTATATAAAATATGTATACATAGAATTTTCTAAAAACTTATTATCATATTATTTCATCGATTGTGTTAAATTTTATCGGTGCCAACTCATTTTGAACCGGCCCAAGTTGGCACCGATAAAATTTATTAATCTATAGATATTGTTAGTTTATCGAGTATTAATTTATAGAGGTTCTACTGTAGTACTATCAATATATTTTCCGTAAACATTAAAAATGTTTTCCATATATAGTTAATTACCCAATTCTTTTAAAAACCTGAAAACATATTCGATAATATTCATTTTGACCTTTATTTTAAAATATTTGCAGGCATGGCGAGATAAAATACTCCATGAAAGCTAACGATCCCATTAACATAATGAAAATGGATTCTGTTCCTCAATTAGTATACAAAGGAACTCTTATGATGGTTTTGTGGAACTTACTGCTAATTGTAACGAAAAAGTAGGGAAGAAGAGAAAGAGTAACATGAAAGAAATATATGAGTCTGGTCCTCAGAACAGAAGAACTCCTAAGGTTCGTGATGAACTACTTTGTTGTTTGTTAATGGTGAGCTATCCTGAAGGTCCAAGTCGTCCATTGTCTCACCTCAGATCATATAAAGGATTCAAGTTTCCAAAAGACTCTCCTCATCAGTCTCATTCATTCATATGCAAGATATTTGGAGTCTCTAGTGGTCATCCCATCCTACTGAAGATTGCAAGAAGTCAAAAGAAAAGGGGAGATACCGAACCGGCTTGAAGCAAAGATGATCCAAGACTGATTATAAGGTGTGCAAGTTGTGGAGTTCACTCTTGTAACACAAGTTAGGCCATGATCCAAGGTCTATATGTCCACCACACTGGATCTAAGACATATAGAATCCACTGGCTAATCCCTAAGCTTTGCTGGCTCTACTCTTTTCCTTACAAGGTTTTGTCCCAAAAAAAGGTTTTCTTTATAAGATTTTAACGAGAGAATTCTTCAAAGTTTCAAACTATCCCAAAGAGCTCTTATGATCAATCTTGAGGGAGAGTGTTTCTAATCTTATCCAAGATAACCTTCATGACCCAAGAAATACATTGGAGAAGCTTCTGGACAAGTGGGAACCATTTTGGGATGTGTTCATGGCTTTCCAAGCTTGACCATAGCTTATGCTCAAGCTTTAGGTGAGTATTGAGAAGAAGAAATGAATTCTTAAAGAAGAGTCAACTCATCCACAACTAAATCATCCACAATTTACCCATTCACGAAGACTCTCATCCAGAGTTGACCCATCCACATAAACTTGTCCGCACAGATAAACTGTTTTAGACAATAACTAATGGTCTCTCTTTATATCATGATTATTGAAGGTTTACTGAAATTAGCAAAAAACTAAAAATAATAATTTTTGGAACTAAAAACAATCATTGGAGACAAGAGAATTTGAATTTGAATTTGAATTTGAATTTGAATTTGAATTTAAATCTTGGAGCCTTTGGAAGTGGTCCCTTTTAGCCTTTTTATTCATTTCTTCTTTGTCTTCTCAGTCTATAAATCTATGCTAGAATAATAAAATTAAGGAGAAAAAATCTTTCAGTTTACTCTTTACTATCTCTCTCACAACAACACATTTTCCACTCTCTCTTTATTTTTTTATTTTGGATCAAACTCTCTCTTTCTCTCGTCGTTCTTCACTTTCTCATCATATTTTCTTATATTATTTCTCTCCGTTCTTACACTTGTTATGTTACCTTGACATCATAGGTTTTGACTTTATGTCTTTGTTGTGTGTTAACTAGGGGTGAACACAATCCAAGTATTTACCATTTTTGGAGTATTTGATACTTGGTTTGGCTTATTCGAATAATAAAAATTTAGACTTGTATTTGGTTTATTAAAAACGAGTACTTGCACTTTCAAGTATTTGCTAAAAATGGTATACTTGCAAGTACTTACTCTGTTTTACTATTTGTTGCTTCTAAACTAATCTATAAATTATTATATAATTATTTGTAAATTATTTAATAATACTTTATTAATTTTAGCTACTTAAACCTTGTATATGAATTTAAGACAAAAATTAGTTAGTTATAATTATAATCTAAACAATTTTTAATAAAGAATATTTATTTACTTTTTGTATGTTTTAAATCGATATATGATAAATATAAAATTAAAAGAAAACTCTAAAATATTCTTTATAATATATCACTTTTAATTCATTTATTTTATAAACAAGTAATTTGATTATAATTTAGAGATTTTTTGTCTTAAAGTAAAAAAAAACGGGTAGTAAATCAAGTAATAAGTCATGAGTAACAAGCCAACAACGCCGAGTAGTTATTTTCATTTTAGTATTCTGTACTTGTCTTGTACTTGCAAGTAATTGAAATAAACGACTTGATACTCGACTTGAACAAAACGAGTACTCGATTTTAAAGCCAAGTACGAATAAAGTAGCGAATACAAGCCGAGTAGCAAATAACTGTGCCCACCCCTAGTGTTAACATGATCCTGATAATGTCTTAGAAAAACAATCTAAGAAAGAGCAAGGATGAGAAAGACATAGCAGAGATTGCACTACAAGTAGAACAAGTGATGACCAATCTTGAAAAAGCTGTAAAAGACATATGTAGAGCTGAACAAAGAAGGAAAACCCCCACACTAATAAATTCATGAAGTTACCATCTTATCAGTGAAGCTGTCTCCAAGTAAGCAAACAAGATTCATCAAACTCTTTTAGATTTCCAAGGGAAAGGCGCTCAGAAAAAGGAGCCACAAGCATTAGAGATTAAAGTAGACGCTCGCATTGAGCCCAGTTACTAACATACATGACGAGGGATGTTTTAGAGAAGATCAATGTGACAGGAAATAAATTAGCTATCCACGGGTTTAATCAAATATGGTTTGATGCTTTCATATGTATTTCGGTTTACTAGAAGCAAACCGGTTCCAATTATGTACTCCTTTTTGGATCAATACTATTAAATTTGGAACATGCCCAATTGATATTAGTTCAATCCAATAAAAAATATATAACTGCTATATATTATTTTTATATAACTGTATCAACACTAACCATGTTATATTTTAATATAGTTAATATATTTGTAACCAGACAGTTACGTTTCTTCCTTCATAACATATATTCATTGATTTATCTTTACCTTAATCATTCTCACAGACGGAAAGTGATAGAGGCCTCATGGTGAAGATGCAATCCGGGTCGAAAGATTTCTATGGCCAAACTTCATTTGAGATGATGATGATGAGGTAAGCTTTGTGAAATGGAACTGTCCAGATTCTTTTAAAAATAACTGCAATAATTAGTGTTAACTAAGCCTTTCTTTAAAAAAAAAAAATTAAGGTTAACTGTAGTATATATGATATTGATTAAACTCATATTTGCAAACAGATATATAAATCTTCTGAATAACTTAACCTCTTATTTTAAAGGGATACGTTTTTTTTTTCCTTACTTTTATTTGTTATTTAAAAACATGGCCCATATCCAATATTTTGAAGGGTTTTTTGCCAAAACTAACCCAAAACTTGATTTTAACCCCAATACTAGACCCCAACTTAAATCAAATGCAAATCTAACCTAAAAGGGCTATGAAATTACAGTATAGTGCTCTGTGACCAAACAAAAAACAGAAGATATTTTTACAAATATAACCCCAGTAAGTTGTCTGGGTCGGGCTGAGTTACTTTTCAGTCGTCTGGATGACTGAAGTGTTAATTGTCTGGACGATTGAATCTTAAAAATAATTTATAAATTCTGTACAAAATATTTTGATGAGTGAAAAATTAAAAACATGTAATTATAAACATTTATAAGTGATATAAATTAAGAAATGATAAAGTTGATTTGTTTTCAGCATAGATGAGTGGAAGTAGTGAATCATGATATTCTTTGGTTTAAGGGTTTGGCAAACATATGTTGTAGTATTGTATGAAATCTTAGGGTTAAATTTTGAAAAGCTGAAATGTTTTTTTGAAAAAGTTAATTTGACCTCTATGTGTTTATTTCTGTGTATAGTAAACATTTTTTCAAGTTTAAATTGATGTTTCGAAGTGCTTAATTAGAGAATAAAGTTTAGGGGTTATGTTTAGGGATTAGACGACTGAAATTTCAGTCGTCTGCTTTAAATTATTTCCCAGACGACTGAAATTTCAGTCGTCTGCTTTAAATTATTTC